AATCATTTAAAGAGACACTAAAAAGTCATTTATCCAAGATTTGTCATTTCCTAAACTGCGGATATGCTGAAAGTTGCCCTCATAAATGTGTGATGCGTTTCACGGGCGCATTGGAAAAAAAAAAAAAAAGTTAAAAACAGGAAATCCAGCAGCTGCAACTGGCACAGTCCATGTGGGCAGGTTTCAATCGATACTGTACATAGCCCTCTACATTTGGCTTGGCACGCTTTAAAGGGCAGTCTAAGAGGACTGATCAATAAGTGCACACGAAAGAGTTTGGACCTAAAACCACCACAGTTAAATAATAATAATTGGTTTAATCCGACTCATATCAATATTAAATCATAGGAAAGTGTTTTGTCTATTTTAGACAAAGCCTCTACCTGTTAATGCTGTAAATAAAGTTGAGAGGCAAAAGGGAAAAAGTGAGAAGCTTTTTAAAGGAGCTCTCAGCTGGCATCTCTACTCAATTTAAGAGACGCATCTCAGATACGAACGGATGGCAATCCATGCAGCGGGGCGGGGCAATCTGTGCTACGCTCCAATGCTTTACCGACAGATCCATTTATCACACCGATCACACACATTTTGAAACCAGCAAATAGATGAATTCACGAAACCTACGCTTCCATTTCACATCCCAAAGTGGAGACTGAAGGGAGAAACTCAACAAGAACTCAAAGAGGCTGCAGTAAAGGCCTGGAAAAGCATTTCAAATGAAGAAAGCAACAACCTGGTCAAGTCACTCGGTTGCGGGCTTCTTGCAATTGTTGCCGGGATCCATTTTTAAACACGGACTGTTCTTGCAGTCACACCCAGCACTGTGCACGAATAAGTGGAGGAAAAAGTTTTCCCGAAGTTTCGGATCATTTCACATAAAGGCAAAGTACAACATGTAGCACAAGGACACCGATGACCGCCAGCTCAAGCTAATGGATTGACGTTAGCCAAGTTAACGTAACTTGTTAGTTAGAAAGTCTAGTAATGTCCCCTGCAAGGGGTCAAGGGTAGACAGCCGCCGGTGGACTTTCAATCATTGTATTGGACAAACAGTAAGCTGCCCACATTCACAACTCATAAGAACCAGCCAATTCTAAAGCCTCATTCGTTGAGACTCTCGTCAGTCGCCAGGCAGGCCAGGACATGTCTTTAAAAGCCAGCACTCCGATACTAAACTAGAAAAAAAGCGCAAGCCTCCCAGTAATTGCCACAAGAATATTCATTTTAACGGTGAGTTGTATTTTTAATCATTTGTCCGTCACAACATTGCATTTATGTGCAACCGATACATGTTTGGGAGGGGAACCACATCTTGCTTCTTCATGTTGGGCACGCAGGATGCTTACTGCAGAGTGGTAACAACAATCAGACACACTCTCTCGCCAACAATGTAAAGTTGGAATTGTCCAACAAGTCCAGCAAGGCTGACGCCACTTCCTGCTCCTGCCATGCCCGCTTCTTGTGGTTTGACGGAAATAGTTAACATTGACCCTGGCCCCGCCCTCTCTGTGTTCTCCTACTCAGTATCCTCCAACTAAAAAGAGCCTCAGTGTGGGAGCACACCAAGCTGAGGCCCCACAGAAAACCACATAATTACAAATCACAATAAAGCCCTCAGTGCTGTGTGGCTGCCAGGGACTCTGCTTCATCCAGAACTGGTTCAACTCCGTTGCCGTGCTGACTGCTACACAGACCCCGCCCGCGCCCCCACCCCCACCTCAACACTCCTTTCACCACTTTCTTTCAGGAAGCTCACCCCATGCCCTCGTTCTCTTGTCCCTTCTACACAGCTATTTTCTTCACACCCTGCTTTTGTTCAAGTCTATCACGGTTTGCATTTACCCCCAAGCAATAGTCCTCACAAGCAAAACCACCAATCAAGTGCATCTAATTAGTGTGGGCCATGAGAGATAAAGATACTGCTTTCTAGGGGTGGGCAAAATAGATTAAGGGGTTGTGAAGTATTTGGCCAATTGGAATTGATTATTGTTGTTGGGCCAGCACGGTTGCAGAGAGATCCAGAGTCTTTGCTCTGGTGCTCCTATGTGGAGTTTGCCACTCGTCCAACGTCAGGACGGAGATCACACTGGACCCAAAGGTATATTTAAAGGCCCCTGGCAAGAAATTTTCTTTGTGTTGATGTTCTTGTTCAGAAATATGCATTCCCCTGCTTGTTGTGAGAAAAAAAAGACCCATGTTTCCCTTGCCTATGGCTGTTTGTATCTACATAGCTCAAACATGGACTATCAAATGGGCTGTTTTAGTCGATCCGTTTTATACGTCACAAACCCAGCGCGAACTCCGCCCTCACCGACAAACAACTGCGCAGGTATAGCAGGACAACATCGAAGCCAGAAAACCCCATAGGAACCGCTTTGTAGCAGAGTGTACAAACGGACAGCAAAAAAACTTTTTCCTTCTCCCGAAATCCAAGCCACAAAAAGGCTTGTGGTTGGAGATTATTTATGAATCAAATATGCCCAACCAACTCCCAAAACGCGTGTTAGTTTGTGGCAAACATTTTACTGACGACTGTTTCAGCAATTTGGGACAATACAAATTTGGATTAGCAGGACATCTTTCACTCACCCCGGGATCGATTCCAACTCTTTCTGGAACAGCAAGTTCGAGTCCGAGGAAGACTATTTTCGCAGTAATTTCCTTGAGTGTGTCATATATTGTGGCCTCCTTTGAGTTGTCCGCGGTGCAGCAAACAGCCTGGTTGATGGAATGCCGATGCAAGCTCGTAGCATGTGAGTAAGTGACACGTGTTGTGCGACTTTATACCGTTCTAAACAAATGCTATTTGTACTTTAGCGTTATCAATGTTTCTTTCCCATCCTTCAAATGAGATGCTTTGCAAATGTATTTCAGGCTCTCATGCTGCTATCGGCATTGGTGGCTAGTCATTCATCGGAGCTTTTCTTTGTGTATGTACAAGTACGGATGGGCGTGAAAGACTCAGTGTGGAAACAAGCACGTGGAGCAGGCGAGTCTTGGCCACAACTAACTCATTTTGTAAACAGAAGCATGTGGAATCAGGCGAGCTATGGCCACACCCAATAAAATCTGGCCTTTTAATGCGAGTCTAACAGTAGGCCTTGCTAGTGGAGCCTATAATTCTACGACAAGGCGCAATTTCACGAAAAAAAACTGTTTTGATACACTATAAGGGCCTCACAGGATTGTTGTCATCGCTGCATAGCACATGTCGGGGTCCCTTTCAGACATTTTTTTAGCTGTTATAAACCTTGCACATTAAATGTATTGATTTTTGCTTTTTGATGGCTACATTTTGTTTCAAGACTTTTGGTCAGAAATATTCAACACATTTGATATTTAAGACTGTCGGTCCAGATCCATTTCTGAGTCTATTATCGACCCTATTTAAAGTATATTCTCATCCTTTCCCGTTGGGAAGGGTTGTCCCAGACCGAATAAGGACAAACTGTATTGAAAGTTGATTGATGGAATTGATAGTTGATTGTAATGAAGGGGTTAAGGCAAAATGAGTGCGCTATTTATTTCCCACTAATTACTGCACATTTCTTTTCACTCTTTCCACTCCTTATTGGTCAACTATACAGTAAGCGGAAGAATGCTAACAGGGAAGGGGTTTAGCGTATGGGTAAGTGAGTGATCGGGACTAAAACATAAACAGGACAACTGGCTTGAACTTTACTTATTACTACTACTTGACCGGTATGTTATCTGGCTACAGTACACTCACAAATAGTCAAGTCAATTATAAGAGGCCATTTTGCAGATGAGCGAGCCTTCTTTCACTGCAAGCGTTGTAAACACATGCAGCAGTGCTAGCTAGCATAGTTAGCCAATGTCATGCATGTTGTACATGACCTGGTCGCATCCATTGACGCGTTGCCTTTACCAGGTCATCCTTATGATCCGTGAAATTCATTGTAGTGAGGTTCATTGTCTATGTTTATAACCGGGTTTGTTCCTTTACTAGTTGGGCCGGGTTGAAGTGACTCCTTCACTTCAACAAACAAGATCAACAAACAAAGTCAAATTTCAGAAACCTGGCCTTGTAGAAAAGTTCCCAGATGTTTGCTCTGTATGACTCTGCTTCATAATCACATTCCAGGAGTGTTTTTAACCAATGCATTCAATTCCTTCTAACTCCTACGTCATGAATACTTAATTTTGTGACAAAGGCCTGAAACAATCACAGAATGTTCACCTGCGTGTTTTTTTGGGGACTGCAACGCTGACATTCAGATTCTTGTCATGTACACCAAGTGGTAGTTTGCGAGTGCCTGTGTAAAATGATCATTTCTCAAGTGAGCGATGACAAGAAACACCCCAGCGAGCTTTCATGAGGTCAAGATTGGTGCTCAGGCAGTCGGATCTACTACAGAGGTTAAGCTCCAGCTTTGAGAAAACTCCTATAAGCCACTCTTTAAGCTCCATTCAGGCTGAAAGGCTAATTCACCACAGTATATTAAAGGATAATCACAGTCAATTACTCCACTGGTATTCTGACGTCACGGTAACCCTGGAAGAAATCTGCTGTCAGCAACAGCAACGCTTGTTACGCAAGATGAAGGCAAATGGAACTTCATTCACGTGGAATACAGTTGATGTTAACAGAATATAATTGTGATTTGGTGATAAATGTTTTTCATTTATTCCTGTCAACAACATTCCACTAATACAACAGTTAAGCGGATGCCAGCCGTGTGTGAATGAAAGTGACAAAAACAGACAAAAGGAAAGTGAAATTGAACTGATGCTTCACATGTTGCTGCTGTAAAAACAGAAAAGGAATTTCCTGCTCCAGTAAACTGAGATTTGGTACATTCCAGTTCACGAATAGAGTTCAACTGAAAAACTGCGCTTTATATTTACCCGATTTCCCACCCGTCCAATTTGAAGTGGCGTAGGAAGGGACAAGAAAGTAAAACCTGGTTTGGTTTGACAATGTTGCATTTAGAATTAATATTTGTAGAGGTTTGTCAAGATCAAATGGTTGTTTTTTTCACAAATGACCGTTTTTTTTAAAAATGAATACTGTTGCATACTTAAATGTAAATAACTGACAAAGCTCTACAAGATATGTTGCATTCCTGACATTCTGAAGTGCCAGTGTGAAGGGCGCTATGGTTTATTTTGATCGGAGAGGAAGAATTTGTTTGGGTATTTGTGATTGCATTATTTGATGTTTTTTTGTACATCATCCTCCCTTGGGCCATCTTTTATTTTGCCTCGCGCAATTACTGTCCCGCATATTTAAAGCGGTGGAAAAACAAACAACACATCTGAAAGCTTTAGCACATTCTTTCCATAAACTTTGACCAGTCTAAACAACTCCGTTGATTAAAGCATTGTGAAGAGAAGATTTACATATCACAACAAAGACTTCTTAACCTTCAGTCACGTGAAGCTTTTAGCCAACAATTGAATAAACAAATACATGAATAAGCTTACATTAAATAAATTTGTAAATAAAACGTGCCCCCCGTCCTTTCCCACTCAAATTGAAAATTAACTGCAGTCACTTTTAGGGAAAGGACCAACTGAGAACAACATGGGCTTGACATTTGGTGTACATTTTTTAAAATTAAAATAAGCTTCACTTTTCTGAGCAGAAAAGTGCAACAGGATGGGTGTGTCAGTTTCCACCATGAGCCAAACAAAAGACTTGCATCTACTTCTCTTTCACACGCAGGCAGCTTAAAAAAGGAAGTGGCAGATGAGTCTCAAAAAAGGAAATGTCACTCCCACCAAAGGCAGTTGTATGTGTATATTCTGCTTAACGTGGGCATGCATACGCATACTGTATTTAATAGTTTTTAACGTCACGTGAAATGATGTGTAATGTATGTGAAGCAAAGCGCTACTTGATAGTAATCATAATTCTAATATAGTGATGGAATCGTCATTTAAAAATAGGAATCAATAGAATCAATTAGAATACTGAGACTTTATGGAACAGAACATAATCCGCACACCACCAAACTGTTACCAAAAGTATCAAGACTGAGATGATGATGTCTCAATTTACTGACAATTTTAATTCGTGCAGTCAGAGTACCCTGATGAACTCTGACCGCACTAAAGTGACACTTCATCCTGGTTGGAAATCACTTGTTTCCAGAATGTTCGGCAAATGCATATGCATGTAAACAAATGACATGTTGCACTGTTGGGGTTTTAAAACACTATAATATAAATATTCAACCGCCAGCAATGTTCACTCATTTACGAAATTATGTCCAAAAACGAAAAGCAAAGCCAACACAACAGTTGGAGTGCTCGAAAGCTTTTTTTTTTTTTTTTTTGAAAATCAGCACCCCCAAACGAAATGAAGTGTGAGCAAAAATGTGTCAGATCAATTTGCCTCACTTCGCTCTAAAACATCAAATGGCTTTCATTGTGTCATTACAACAGTCGTCGCATCACCAAAGCCTCGGTTGCAATCATTACGAACAGCCAACGAACTGCGTTTCCATTACTTTGTGAGCGGAGCGCGTGGTGTACTTTATTTGCCTTTAATTTGCAACACAAGATGCAACAAGCCATAAAACCCGACCCATTTTCTAAATAGTGCTCATCATCTTAAGGGTCACAAGGGAGATGGTGTCTATCCCAGTTGATTTTGGGAGGGAGTCGGGATAAATCTTGGGACTGGTTGCCAGCCAATCACAGGGCTCATACAATATAGACCACACCCATGCGCATTTTATAGGACTTGGAATGTGGGAGGAAGCCGGAATATCAGGGTGGTTGGGGGGGGGGGGCACAAAAGCACAGGGAGGTTATGCAAACTCAATCACCGTGCAACCATATTCATGTAAAATCGCTGACATTATACACTGTCCAAGTATGTTCACTGAAAATAAATCCTTTCCGCTACAGACAAATTTCATGCTGTCAACTTGTCAGGAGTAATTAATTGAGGACAATTCCACTGAAGCCAATTGACCATTCGGTTACAGTCTCGCCAAGTGCAGCTGTCACAGCATAATCACTCTGAAGCCCCCTACGGAAAAAAAAATATACTTCAACCTGTGACATCCAAACTATTCCCACCATCCTTCACCCCCACATAGGCCCCTGCTGCTTTGGTTATGTTAGGCAGCCCACTTGTCACTGCTTGCTCAGAATTCCCCTTCTCTACAGTCCCAATTTTACCTCTGCCACCTCGCGCTGAGGCAGTCAAGTTTTGACTTCAAAATAGTAACACGGGGAACAGAACGATCGAAAGTATCGGTAGGATCGGTGAAGCACACCTGAAACCCCAGCCGATCAGTTACCAGAAATAATACAAGGTTAACAACGCACTCACCTGGTATTTTTTTGGCCAGAACAGAAATTGAAGTTGGAAAAGGTTTCACATATAAATTACTGACATTAACGACAACAATGTTAGCGCAACAAAGCAAATAAGTTGCCTTTAAGTTTTTTGACGCTGGGGTTCCATAAAAGGGACAACTGTCCTGTAAACTCTTATTTCTTTCTTGTGAAATCCAGGAAAGCCAACTTTCAACAAGAGCAAAACTTAAAACGTTTAATTTAACTGCACCAACTTAAAATGTGACCCAAGTCTGTTGGACCTGGTTTTGCTAATGGAAAACGCATCATTGGTCTGGCTTTGGAAACAGCTACCGACATCATTTTAGGTACAAAGCGCTCCTTTGTTCTGCCTGTGGCTGTCCCTCAATTATCAGCATGGAAGCACCAAGTGATGACTTCTTTCAGATGTCGAAAAAGGTTGTCGATACAAACAACTCCTCACTGGGCAGACACTTAAAGAAGTTAACAATGAATGTTCGACCCACCCTCTTCACTCATTAGCCACTGACTTTCACCCGGCTTCTGCGACATCAAGAGTCACCGCCACCATTGAACTTTTTGTCATTAGACCATTTTGGGGTCTGTACTTTGTCTCAGCTGCGTGTGACAGTTCAGACCCGGAGGGGGAGTCCGGGAGTGCCAGGCCTTCCGACTCCGAAAATGACAGGATAAAGTGATGAGGAGGAGGGCGGGGAAGTGAACTGAGCTCATTTCCTATAATGGCAAGGCGGAGGAAATGGACTGAGGGAGGGGTGAGTCGGGATAATGGTTTACAGTACGTGTTTAGTGATATGATCACACAAAGAAAGGCCCAATCCCTAACTTCCCAAAGGAACTTGAACATGTAAGCACGACTAGGAGGAGGGAAGAGGACACTCAAACATTGTGTGTGGCGATGCGATGGGAGGACACAAACTCGACGAGTGAATTGTGCTTTTGCGGGGCCCCGGTAAAATAAACACTCTTGCGAGGAGCGCTGCCTGAACTGTACATGCATTAATGTCCAAGTCCCGAGCGAAAACTGAAAACTAAAATAGTTTATGTGGCCCTGGGGCAAAATAGGGAGGACGAGGGAAAAAGTACGAACCGATCGGTTTCAAGCGTCAGGTCATCTGAATCCCTATAAATATTGTCTTATGTAGTCATGGAGACTGAGGTATTTTGATTTGTCTATGACACCCCAAGATCGCCGAGTACTTTTGATATCAGCGTCCTATGACTTCAATCAAAAAGTTAATCTGCGACCCAGAGCGACAATCTGGTATGATGAGAATCATTGAGTACAACATTTTGGTGGGAGGCAACAACCACAGGCAGATATTTTATTAAAATCGATGGACCATAGACTGACAAACATGTTCAAGATAATCACGGCACACAAACGGAATAAATGAATAGTTTGAATCAACAGAATCTGAATTGTAAAGAAGTCATTCTTGTCGGGACTAAGAAATCGCTAAAACTATTTAGTGAACTGTCCACTCCGCAAGATAGACCAAGTATGAAACCATATGTGAGTTGGGGAGGCTCAGTCGCTCGTCGATCTTGCAACAGTTCCTTTTCCTGTTTTGTGCGCATACTGTCTGCATGCTTGCATACTGAGGTGTCCACTTCCTCTTCCTTCTCTTATTTTCCGACATAAAGGGCACACAAAATAAGGCTCTGGAATCATCCATATTAAGTCTCAAGGTTTTATGAATTCCTACCTAAGCTTGACAGAATACCACCACCAGAAATAAGGACAAAAAACTGCAGTCTTATCAGCATTTGTCGAGCGTATTCGAAGCTGGTTGCCAAGCGACTAAACAGGAAATAGGAGATGTAATCCAAGTGAAGCATATGTGGGTATGCTATACGCATCCATCAATCCATTTTCCGATCCGCTTATCCTCACAAGGGTCGCGGGGTGTGCTGGAGCCTATCCCAGCTGTCTTCGGGTAGTAGGCGGGGGGACACCCTGAACCGGTTGCCAGCCAATCGCAGGGCACACAGAGACGAACAACCATCCGCGCTAACACTCACACCCAGGGACAATTTGGAGTGTTCAATCAGCCTGTCATGCATTTTTTCGGAATGTGGGAGGAAACCGGAGTACCCGGAGAAAACCCACGCAGGCCCGGGAGAACATACCAAGTCCATACAGGGAGGCCGGAGCTGGAATTGAACCCAGTACCTCTGCACTGTGAGGTTGACATGCCAACCCGGGTTCGTTGCTATGCTACATTTTATGCTAATATTTGTATTGTTAAAAATGCTAAAAAAATATATATATATTTTTTTTTTTAATCACATTTCTACCACTTTCAACCAACGTGTCACCTTCAAGTAATATAACATAAGTACATTGGACCTCTTGTTTATATTTATCACACCAGGGTAGGACATTTGTTTTATGTCCCAGAGAATGGGACACCGGGACCCACTTGCTGGTTTAAACTGTCAAAATCTGTTGCCATTTGGAAATCACACCTCCGCCATCTCTTCTACCGGATGACATCACATCAAGCAGTCCCTCTTATTGACTGTTTTTCAACTGAGGCCCACATCATGCGCTGGCAGCACTAACACCATGAACATGTTCGTCAACGGTGCACTGCTCTGCGTGAGGTGCAATGGTTAAAGTTCTGAATATCCGCAGGGGCGGCCTTTATCTGTAAGCCTTGCTCGCTGTGTAATTGCGCTCTATCCAAGCCTGGCACATTCACGCTCGCTGATGTGCTATCCTGTGCGTCACGCAACTTAATTGTGCAGCGCTGTGGCACAGTTTGTTGAGTAAACAAGGCTGAAAACATGAGGCATCAGCTTATTTGATAAAGCCGGCCTATTTCACCAAGCCCTAAATGGCTGAAAACGTGTCTCAAGAATAGCGGATATGGAAATGAAATTAAGTAAGCAACAATTTAGCCTCACTTTTATTTGTTACAGATGAAACGCTGGTCTCCGAACCAGGCTTCTGTTATTGCGCCTGACAACTACGAAGATTGCAGCTCACTTTAATAACAGGGAGAAATCCCGGAGTCGATGTGGCGCTGAGCATGTTGCACTGAGAGGCGGCAGCATGTGTCACCTTGGATAGCCATCAAACTGGAAAAAGGGACTCTACTGAAAGCTAAATTTTATCTGCCATTTTTTCACCAGGCGCACAATGAAACACTACCAGCTGCCGGGCTAATAAAAAGGCTCCCCGTCTAGCTCATCAACACAAAAATGACAACAACAATGCACCCACATAACGACTAATCCATCCCTCCGTTTCCATCTCAGCATTTAGCAATGGCCTTTTGTTGCAGCCCGTTAGTTAAATGTGACTCATATTTCTATTGTTGAAAAACAAAAGAAGGATATTCAATTCAAACAAGACTTACTTGTGATCAGCCACTGTGATGACATAATGGGTCATGAGAGGAACGGGAAACAGGAAGTGAGAGGGATTTTGCATAAGATGTAATTTTTAAACTGGGGGGGGGGGAACAAATAATCACAAAGCTAATTGCCTGTCGAATTTTCTAAAAATGAGTGAATTCAAACACATACGACGTTCAAGTGGTAATTTGACCAAGACTTTCAGGCAAAACACACCGCAAAAAGTCAATGTCAGGATAAGCATCATGATGCATAGCTAATTGTGTGGGGTTGATTCATCGTGTCCGAAGGCAAAAAATCAATTATTAATGAAAAAGCGTCACTTCCCAATTTGAAGGATGGCTAATTATAAACTGACTGTTGAGAATTCCACAGGATATTACTCTCTGTAATGTTATATGACTGATGATCAACTTTTACTTGTTAACCCAAGTATGACTTCTTTTTCTGGGTAGGTGATGATCAAATGTGCTTCCCCCCCGTCACGGAAGCGTCACAAAAGCGGTGGACCAGCAGAGAATGAGCCACTAGCAGCGGAGCCAGCTGGCAGAATTGATGCGTTTTTTTTTTGTTTTGTTTTGTTTTAATGGGCGTGTTGGCGCTGCTTTCAC